AAGCGCCACCAACCAAATTTTCCTAGGCTAAGTGTCCTGGCAAAAAAATACCTCTCAATCCCAGCAACAAGTGCAGGGTTTTCAGTGTGGGGGGGGGGGGGATTGTTACATGCCACCGGGCATGTCTAAAGCCAGAGGTGGTAGACAGGCTTGTCTTCCTGGCTAAGAATGTTTAGAAAAGAGGATATTCAAACTAAAACAGCACAACAAAAAAACACCTTATGCTCTCATGCACTGATAATTAATGCTGTTGAATGTTTTGTTGGCACTTTATCAGAACTACTTCCAATCTACTAATAGCAAGATGTTCAACTTGTGTTTAAAGAAATATTGTATGTTACATTTTATGTTATGTTACATTTTCACTGTTTACAATGGCAGGGCCTGCCATATTGTCTTTTTGGCTAGTTGTTCTTGATTGCACTTTAACCCCAAGGGGGAAAATCAAAATACAATTTTTTTTTGGAACAATTACTTTGTCATCTGCATATGAATTGGGGGGGGGGAGAAAATCGATTTAAATCGTAAATCGGATGTTTTGTGAAAAAATCAGGGATTTCTTTTTTTGGCCATATCGCCCAGCCCTAGTGTGTGTGCGTGACTGCTCCTTTATTCTAGCATAGCAGGTCAAGTGCTACCAGTTTGATTGCAATCTATTAGATTGACAACTTAATTTGATAGTTCTTATAGGAATGGGAACATGATTTTGAATGACTTATTGTAATTATAACATTATGTGAACCTCTTGGCTAAACAATGGATCTTATTTTTCTTCCTAAGATTTCAAAAAAGGTGATATTTTTATATATATTATAGAAAGAATTGGGCACAGTTTGACCCTTGTATCATGCAAATGCTGATTGCATACTACAAGACTAGATTCTGAAATGCATCCTTAGGGAAAAGTATGTTCTCCTTGATACAGTCCCAGTGTAAAACGCATTTGAAGCATAACCCAAAGTGTATGGCCGAGTTTGGGTTAAACAGGTATACATAATATACACTGTATATCTTGGAGTTCTTCCATGAGATTGCGAACTTCAGACTTTTACTGCTCCAAGCTGATATGCCAGATAAACGAGTTGTAACCATTTTATCATCTCATCCTAGGAAAATAACACAGTTTCCAGCTTTTTAGTTTGGTTGGGGATAGCATTACTGTGTTTTCCTGCTACCTATGGTGTTGGGTTGGGTGTTGGGCATTATGAGAACATTGGCAATGGGCATGCATAATTGACATTTGCATTTTTTATTTTGCATTATTTTGTTGGGATTTTTTGTCTCTTTTAAGTTGTTTTGTGTTCTTAAATTATTTGGTCATTTTGTCGTTATTGGTAGCTGCACTGGCTAAATTAAAATAGTTTAAGACACGTAGACAAACACTTCAGATATGTACTTATTTTTTAATGGAGAACACAAATCTTAAGGATCCTTCTACACCCAGTTAATTAGGTGGAAGTACACAAAAATACTTCAAATCCACAGCAAATATGATTAAATGGTAAAAGTGACAATAATGCATTTGCAGGTGTGGTTTATAATGATTGGATTATTATTCTAATCTAATGTATTAAGAAAATGCCTTTACAATGAATAAAGGACCGCACTCTTGACACACGTACATAGTGACGTAATAGCATAGCATACAAGCAGAAACTGAACCCAGAAGGAAAATGTTTGGGCAGAAATCACACTGAGGTTTGCTCTATAGCAGTGCCCAACATCCTCTGACTCTGTGTGGCCTAGATAACCATCAGCACATCCAATCTCTCCGCACACCTCCGTCTATAACTCCCTGCAGGCAGGTTTAACACCATAGATTTCATTAATGGGAGAAGATAGGCTGGCATTGGCTACGTCATACACACAGAGGACCTAGGTGTGGACATGCTGGCAGAGAAATCAAAATCTGATCACTGCTAAAACAGATTCAACTGCTAAGGGAACAGCTGTTCTGCCACCAAAGTAAAACATGTTATCAAAAGTAAAATACTAAGAAAAGAGCAAGTAAAACACTCGTAAGATGGCATCCTAGTCATCTTCTTCAATCTCGTCGTGATGACTGTGGTTGCCAGGTTGCTGATGATGATGTTGATGATGATGGTCATGATAATGAGGATGGTGATGATGATGCTCAGGATGATGGTGAGGAGGGTGCAGAGTATTATTCTGACTATGCTGATGTTTGGACTGGTTCTTGGGACTGGTGTGATCGTGTTGGTGGTGATGATGATGAGGACCATTATGATGATGATGAGGAGGAGGAGGATCATCAGTGTCCAGAGGACTTGTGGGTATTGTAGTTTTCTGGCTGACATTAAACTGCGTTGTCTCATTCTTCATGAGGGTGTTCTTGCCACTGGATAAAGTATGATTAGCCTAAGGAAGATATAGCATGTTAAAACTGCAGTAATAGCATTTGTTGGCCACTTGGAGGCAGCAGAACAAACAAAACATTTTCAAATATGTATTCCTTTTTACACACCCAGCAAACATGATGGTGTATTAACACTCATGTTGTGTTTCCCACCAATAGGCACTTTCACACCGCAGTACTTTTCCCACAAAGGTTAATCAGAACGTAGTTCATGAGAACTCTTTCATTCTCATGAGAACTCTTTAGTTCGCATGAACTAAGTACAGATTGCGTTCACACCAGAATAAGTCCCTGGGGGAGGATTACCCAAATTAAGAGGCTGACGTCACTTCTTCTTCTTCTGCTTTGAGTTTACTGGCAGGCCGCAAACAACTTCACGGCGTATAATGCCGCCCGAAGTCCCCGGCCTGAAAGTCCCCGGAGTTGGGGACTGGCTTCTACTGAAGCCTTCCGAGTAAATCGCCAGAACGCCGACACCTCCTCATCTCTACCGCTGCCATGTTTTATTTTGTGTTGCCATAAGTTAGTCTCTCTGCGTTTGTGTGCTGGGCTAATGCTAATAATGCTGATGCAAGGATAATAAAATGGCGGCTTCACAAAACTTTTCAGAGTTTTACGGGGCGTGGTTTGCAATCCGCCCAGCCAATCAGACATAGGAACCTTTTCCTCCCACGAAAGTCCCTGCTCTCTAGCAGGGACAGAAAAGGGGGTAAAAAGGTTCTGATTTACTCATTTTAGTTCCGGATTTTTTGTGTGTGAACGCAACATTTCGGAACTATATCAGAACTAAAGTGGGAAAAGTACTGCGGTGTGAAAGCGCCTAATATTATTTTTCTGTTTGCCTACATTTTCATCCAAAACATCCTTGGCACAATATTCTGGGATGCCTTTTTTACTGTGAGGAATCTAGTTTTAAAAGCAAGGAACGAGAAGAAGGGAGTTCTGTTTTTGTGTCGCATGTAGATCCAGTTGAGGAGACTAGAAATGTAACCTGATGTAGTTTGTAGTGTTTGTAGAGTGTGTGTTTGGATATTACTCACAGTGCAGTTACAGATGTTTTTAAGATAAGTGGCTCTGATTGCAGCCTCTACGTAGACTTTGTGCAGGAAACTGTAAGGCAGCACTATGTGGAAGGTGAGCAGACCACACCTGGAGAAAAAGGGAAAGAGCTAATCAAAATGTAATAAGGAACATCAAAATCATGGCACGAGATTCTTAAAAACCCTTCGAACCAAAGGTGCTTAGCCCAGTACAAAATGTTCACACTCATCAAAAAGCTTAAACAAATGTGAAATAAATGAAAGGTTTTAATTTGATACATATTGTCTTGAGGATGCCTACCTATCATAGATCAGGAAGTCATCTTTGTCTCCATCCAGGGCCTCCCACACGTCATCCTGAAGGGGGCCCTGCTGGTAGACAGGAACTCCAGGGGCCGCTTTTCTCTTCAGCTCCCAGTACATGGCTCTGGACATCGCATCGCGCTCATTCACGATCATAAAAGACACGTCTGTCAGGTTGCTGCGGTTCAGCTTGTCACGCAAGCCTCCAATTCTATAGAGGGACGGTTAGAGAAATTTCACTTCACTGTTGATTCAATTAAAAGGGTCTGTAACATCTGCGTGACACTGATAGTCATTTAAAATGAAAACTTAAAATGCCACAATTGACATACTCCGTTCTTGCATTAAATGTACAGCAGCTCAATGTAATTACGTAAGAGGCATTTAGCAAATATGGTGCATGGTGTAAAACATAATATCAAAGTTAGGAATGCACATGAACGCAGTAATACAACTTAAAAATTGGGGAGGTCTTTAACAATCAAAGTCCTTGCTTTTATTGTCATCCACACTGAAAAAACTGAACCGTTGACTTTAATTAAATGTATTATGTCCACATAATTCACATAACTGTATTATGTTAGTTGAAAGCAGTAATATTAAGTTTAACTTCATATTATTGCTTTCAACTAACCTAATACAGTGACAAATCAGAACAATCTTTGACATGTTTTTTATCCTTTATAGTCCCTTCTTTTTGTTGAAAAAACAAACAAGTCCAAGTAACGAGTAATGTAAATTATCATTAATTAAATCACATCCATCAACAATTTTAGAAAAGCAACAACAACAAAATGAATTTCATCGGAAAAAAAGCATATTCTTGAATTCACTTATGACATGCGGTAAACCTTAATATAGATTATTTTGATAGAGAGAAGACATTTTAACTTGTCGTATTAATGAAAGAACAGGTGTTTCTAATAACAGTAGCCATAATACGGATGTCATTATTTTATTACTGCTGTGCTTTTCCTACTATAAGAGTCAAAATACAATGTATGAAACAAGACTGTATGAGTTTACTTTGTCCCAACATGTTTCATGATTTCTGCAAATGTGTTAAAAAAAATAACCTCCTCATTTTAAATGGCAGTTGTTCTCTTCTTTCTTACTTGGAGGCCTGAGTGAGACAGAACTGTCAGCTAGCCTTCAGTAGCACCACCACAACCACATTTCCCAGCAGCTCTTGCATGGGCTCCTGTCCCTTAATGGTCCAGCGGGGGGGAGGTTTGCAGATCCTGGAGGCGTCATTGTCCCCCTCCACCAGCAGACTGACATGTGCGGCCCACAGCAGCCCGGGCAGGGCGGCATACAGCCACAGCGACGAGACACCGCTCATTGTCCTTCTGGACAGAAGATGAGAAAAGCACGAGGTATTAACTGTTATTTTGACCAAAAGCGACTTTGTACACTGTAATACAGGTGCTACATACAGCCCTTTGAGGGGAGACACTGTGAACCGGAATAAAAAACAATGAATTTAAAGGTCACCGATGCAAAATCCATCAACATGTGTCCCCTCTGTAAAGAGATTCAGAAAGTTTCAGGAAAAAAGATTCACTCTTTTTGTCCTGATCTATTTATATAAAAACCTGTCTGAAAATGAGCTGATCATTACATTACATTACATTGCATTTAGCCGACGCTTTTATCCAAAGCGACTTACAATAAGTACATTCGACCAGGAAGATACAACCTTGAAGAAAACAGAATCATATAAGTACATCAGGTTTCATAGAGCCAAACATTCCAAGTGCTACTCAACTGGCTTTAGATAAGCCAGTCCTTTATTAGTATATAAGTGCTTTGTTAATAGTTATATCGCTCGAAGTGGAGTCGAAAGAGATGAGTTTTCAGTCTGCGCTGGAAGATGTGCAAGCTATCTGCTGTCCTGATGTCAATGGGGAGCTCATTCCACCATTTTGGAGCCAGGATAGCAAACCCACATGTTTTTGCTGATGGGAACTTGGGTCCCTCTCGCAGCGGAGGTGCAGCGAGTCGTTTGACTGATGCAGAGCGAAGTGCACGTGCTGGGGTGTACGGTTTAACCATGTCCTGGATGTAGGAAGGGCCAGATCCATTCGCAGCATGGTATGCAAGTACCATTGTCTTGAAGTGGATTCTAGCAGTTACCGGAAGCCAGTGAAGGGAGCGGAGGAGCGGCGTGGTGTGGGAGAATTTAGGAAGGTTGAAGACCAGATGAGCCGCTGCATTCTGGATGAGCTGCAGAGGTCGGATGGCACATGCAGGTAGACCAGCCAGGAGGGAATGTCAGTAGTCTAGGCGTGAGATGACGAGAGCCTGGACCAACCTGCGTCGCTTTCTGGGACAGCTGGGGACGTATCCTCCTGATGTTGTAAAGCGTGTATCTGCAGCTGATCGGATTTTGGCCACTTTATAATGTCATTATGTTTTTTGCCCCGCCCACCTTATCACCTGAATCTCCTCCTAGAGCACCAGTGTGTTCCTTTTAACCAAATATCTCTCATAGGGGCGTGGCTCCTTATTTTCCTCTAAAGCAGCGGGCCAGACGCGGCCCGCGAGACAGTTTCTCATGGCCCCGTTGTTGATATCATGTAATAGTATTAATCTGGCTCGTGCGTTTACGTTTGCACTTTCAGATTTCAATTTTATTTTTGGATTGATCCCGCTGCTGGCAGGGAACTGCTGCGCGCAGTTCCCTCGCCCCTCCCCCCTCCGAGGGAACTCCGCCACACGCCAATCAAATGCGCGCAGCGGAATCAATCACAGAGTGATCCAAAAGTGACACAGAGTGGAAGGAAAATATATCGCCCAGTCATGTCTACATCAAAACTTTCAGGGAAAAGAAAAGTCGATGATGACCACAGAAAATTTCAGGAGAATTGGGAGACTGAATATTTTTTTGTCGAGTACAGTGGAAACGCAACGTGCCTTATATGCACAGAGAAAATCGCTGTATACAAGGAGTATTCTTTCCACACAGTGACGTCACGAGCTACCCACAATGCAATGCGCGCCATATATATATATATAAATACGCCATTTTTCTGGAGGTGCAAAAATCCTGGAGGTGCTAATATAAACAGCTAGCTAACGTAGCCAGGCAGAGCGCACTAGGTTTTTTTCTGAATTAACGACCGAAGAAATCGCTGCATGTCTTCGGATTACATCTCTGGACTTGAGGGGTGTGCTCTAGGTCGTTACCAGCGTAAACTAGAGCTGTGTGGGTTGTCGGATTGCCCTTACAATGTATGGAATTACGACCCTCGAAAGTGGCCTTCGGTCGATTTTGGCAGCATCTACGTCTATCTTCTGGAAACACCAGGTGAATACCCCACTTGTCACAATAATATTATCATGCCAATGCATATATGTGGTATTTTAGAGTTGACTATATTGATTAAGGCAATAGACTATGATATTCTGCTTGCACCTCGTGTGAAATTGCGGATACCGGAAGTACGGTGTCGCCCTCGGCCCAAAACCCGTATGTGTGTGTGAAAGAATAACGTCAAACGTCACTACTCAACTAAAGATGCAGAGTATGCAAAATACCTGGGAGACGAGAGAGAGAAAAGAGTCACAGAGCTAAAAAAATGTCTATGGAAGCAACAAAATCTCTTCAAGAAATGAAGCAATGAGGCTGATTTAGCAGTCGAAGCTAGCTATGTGGTGAGTGAGATGATTGCTAAGGCGGGAAAGCCGTTTACGGAAGGCGAGTTTGTAAAAAAGTGCATGTTGCAGGCTGCAAGTATAGTCTGTCCGGAAAAGAAGGGTCAGTTTAACAACATCAGCCTGTCAGCTAACACAGTGGCAGAGCGCATTTCTGACTTATCAAGTGACATATATGATCAGCTGTGCGACAAAGCCAAACTTTTTCATGCACACTCTGTGGCTCTTGATGAGTGCACGGACATCACTGACACTGCTCAGCTCGCAATGTATGTCCGTGGTGTTGATGACAAGTTTGAAGTGACAGAGGAGTTGCTTACAGTGAAACCAATGCATGGCCAGACCACCGCTCAGGAGTTATAGAATATGAGGATGTGCTCTACTTCACAGAGGTACGTTGGCTCAGCAGGGGAAACGTCCTGAAGAGGTTTTTTGAGTTGAGAACATAACTGAAAGTATTAATGCTGGAGAAGGGTGGGATGGCTGTTCCCGAGCTGAGTGATCCCAAATGGCTCATGGACTTAGCTTTTCTTGTTGACATCACGCAGGAGCTGAATGCACTGAATAAGAAGTTGCAGGGCTAGGGCCAGCTTGTCAGTGCAGCATATGACAATGTCAAAGCATTCTCTACAAAACTGGTGTTATGGAAAGCCCAGCTCCCTCAGAAAAACCTCTGCCATTTCCCAGCATGTTAGGCTCTCATGGACAGGGGCACAGCATTCAGTGGTGAGAAGTATGTTGATGCCATTGTGAAGCTGCAGGAGGAATTTGATCAGCGGTTTGCAGACTTCAAGACACACAGAGCCACTTTTCAAATGTTTGCAGACCCCTTATCCTTTTGGAAAATGCCCCTGGTGTGCTTCAAATGGAGCTCATTGACCTGCAGTGCAATTCTGAGCTCAAAGCCAAGTTCAGGGAAGTGAATGGGAAAGCAGACAAGCTTGGACAGTTCATGAGAGAATTGCCCCCTCCTTCCCTGAGCTTTCCAGGATGTTCAAGCGGACTATGTGCCTTTTTGGGAGCACATATATGTGTGAACAGCTCTTCTCCGCCATGAACTTCAATAAGTCAAAGTACAGGTCCAGACTTACTGATGAACATCTTCAAGCCATACTAAGGGTTTCAACTGCTTCCTCCCTCAAACCAAATGTGGCTCAGCTGTGTTAGAGGAAGCGCTGCCAGGTCTACCAGCAAGGAGTTATGCAAGAATTATGTTGTGAAGAACTGTTCATGTTAAGAAGATGTTGAAGAAATGAAGCTCAGCGCAAGTTCAGACAGGAAGACCTATCACTCCATATCGCACGTCATGGCAATACTCGCTCCCTTCACTAGATGACAGGGAGCTAACCTATCACTTCCCTCCAATCACAAGCCTAATCATCGCACCTGCTAATCCCTCTATATATGCTCTCCCCTTTTCTATCAACTGTCTTCCAGGTGTCAACGCGCAACACACAGACAGACGGCAATTGTCAAACTAACCTCTTAACATTCTCAAGACGTACGACCCAGAGTATTCAGACTACGACCAGCTTCCAGCAGGATTTGATCCTGGCCCGACATGCCAACCCAGTCTCACGGCATTTCGTGTTCACCAACACGATTTTTAATCTATTGATTCGTGTTCACCAACACGATTTGCCCCTTTTTTTCGTGTTGCACAGCACGATTTTAAAAGCAATGTATTTCTACTGGTGCAGCACGTCTTTTTCTCCGGTCGGGTCGTGGGAGACCGGAAGCTGTGTGGTTCATAAAAACATGTTCCTACTCAATATCAAGCCACAGTTATTGCTTTTATTTTAAATCGTATAATTTCGGACTTTTGTTGCCGTCTGTGAGGGAAATAAATGGGGCTCAGAGCCTCAGGATACTGAAATCTGTATTTTTTAAATCTTTTTTTCCTTCTAATTTGTTATTCTTTTCAAAATAACACACTGTTATTTACTCACCAATAACACACAATTATCCTTGCTTTTATTTATTGGTTTAATTCCATAATCTCGGGCTTTTTTGGCGTCCGTCAGGAACTGAATTTCAAAATAAAAATAACCGGAAACAGACGTAGGCATTTCGAGCGATTACCCAAGATCCTCAGCTATGGTTTTAAGCTCGCTTATTGGATGTTTTAGCCGCAATGCATGCTGGGATTTGGTGTTTATATGATATGAAATCCGGAAAACATTTTAAAAGAATAAAATAATACTTAATTCCGAGCACTCTTGCTTTTCTCTTTGAAAGTCATCACATAACGGCATTGTAATACACGGTTCGGCTGCATTGTATATTACAGATCTGCCGTAGTTCTTTATTTATAGAGCCCTGATGAGAAGACCTTTGGAAAAATTGAGATAATGCCGCTGAAACTGAATACTTGACGTGGATCATAAATATATTCAACAATTAAACAACATCTTCAATTTATCTTCACACAATACGTCTCCTTGCAGTATCAACACTAATTCGGCTGACTTTTACATTTGATCTAATTCACAGATAGGTTATATTTAAACCATAACGGTGCACAGCTGATATAAAAGGACTGTAGTTTTTAAAGATATTACTGATTTTCTTTGAATGTAAATACTGAGTCTGAAATAGTATAGCAATATGCTGTAAAATTATGTGAAAGCATGCATAAAACTACACATCTTCAGATGTTGTACGAAAACATAAGTGTCCTACATTTATAATACAAAGTTATTATGGCTGTGTGTACCTT